AAAAGAAATTAGTAGTATAATTATGTTAGCTACACTGTGTTTAGATATATCTATTCTTTTCCCTTCCTTTTCTCCTTTTCTCCTTCACAGTTGTTCTTTCCTTTTGAGCAGTTGCATTTCAATTTCCCGTTTTTAATTGGTCTTTTATTTTGTGTGAGTGGGTTCTAATTTTTTTGAGTTCTTTTTATATTCTAGATATTAGTCTTCTGTCTGAGAAGTAGCTGGACATATTTCCCCATTCTGTAAATTGCCTTTTTACTCCAGTGATTATTTTCTTTGCTGTGTCAAAGCTTTTAAATTTTATATGTCCTTTTATTGAATTTTGGTATTATTTTTTGTGCATTTGGAGTTCTTTCAGAAAGTTCTTGGCTATGTCTATGTTTTTAAGAGTTTTACCTATTTTATCTTCCCTTTGATTCAGTGTTTGTGCTTTTATATCTAGGTCTGTGATCCATTTGATTTGATGTGATTTTGATTCAGAGTGAGCTATATGAGTTTAGAGTCATTCTCTTGCCAGTGGATAACTACTTTTCCTAGCACCATTTGTTAAAGACATTATCTTTTCTCAAGCATATAATTTTGACCATTTTGTAAAATATCATCTGGCTGAAGATGCAAGAGATTGTATCTGCATCTTCAATATTATTTTTTTGGTGAACATGGCTATTTTTATGCCAGTATTATGCTGTTTTTACTACTGTTGTTTTATAGTGTAACTTGAAATCCAAGATTGCTTCCTGCTCTCCTCTTTTTGCTAAGGATTGCTTTGGCTATTCTGATTCACTTCGGGTTCCATATAAATTTTAGCACTTTATTGTAGTTCTGTGAAGAATACTGTTTGTATTTTGATTGGAACTGCATTAAATCTGTATATCATTTTTGGTAATATTGTCATTTTGACAGTATTGGTTCTGCCTATCCAGGAAAAGAGAATGGCTTTTCATTTTCTAATGTTCTCTTTGTTCTTTTTTTCAGGATACAATAGTTTTCATTATAGAGGTCTTTTATTGCTATGATTAGTTTAGCTCCTAAGTGTTTAATTTTTTTCTACTATTATGAATTAAATTGTTCTCCTGAATTCTTTTCAGTGGGTTTATTATTGGTTTACAGGAATGCTATTGAGCTTTGTGTGTTGATCCACTTTACTCAGTTTGTCTCTTAATCATGTCTTCTGATGGAGTTTTTTGTGTCTTCTCTCTATACTTTTTTTTGTTTTTTGTTTTTTGTTTTGTTTTTCCTCCAGTACCAGGAATTGAACTCAAGACCTTGTGCTTGCCAGCCAGGCACTTTGCTGCTGAGCTAAATCCCCAGCCCCTGTGTCTTCTCTATAAATAATCATGTCATCTGCAAATAAGAATAGTTTGAGTTCTTCCTTTCCTATTTTTTCCATTTTTTTCTTACTCTTGCCTGATTGCTATGGCCAAGGTTTTAAATACTATATTGAAAAGGAGTGGTGAGGGAGGACACCCTTTTCTTGTTCCTGATTTTAGAGGAAATACTCAGTATTTTCTCCACTTAATGTGATGTTGGCAGTGGGTTTGTCATAAAACAGCTTTTATCAGGTTTACCTATTTTCATGAGGGTTTTTTGAAATCATGAGTGGATGTTAGATTTTTATCAGTGGCTTTGTATGCATCTATTGAAAAGGTCTTGTGATTTTATCCTTATGCCTATTTATGTGGCATATTATATTGATTGATTTATGTATATTGAACCTTCCTGACATCCCTGCATTTAAGCTCTCTTGGTCATGTCTTATGTTCTTTTTAATGGTGTCTTGCATTCTATTTGTAAGTATCATGTTTAGGATTTTTGCATCTATGTTCATTAAGCAAATTGGCCTCTAGTATTCTTTTGTTATTGAGTTTTTGTCTGGTTTTGGTATCAAGGTAACGCTAGCATCAAAAAGTGAATTTGGGAGTTTTCTTTCCCTTTGAAATTCATAGAAGATTTTGAAGAGTATTGGTATTAGTTTTTTACTGAACTTTTGGTAAAATTCAATGGCAAATTCGTTGGATCCTGGGATTTTCTTTGTTTGTGAGTTTTTGTTACTGCCTCAGTTTCATTGTCTATCACTGGTTTATTCAGGGTTTTTATATTATCTTAGTCTAATTTTGATAATTCATGTGTGTCTAGGAATTTGTTTATTTCTTCTAGAGTCTTCTGTTTATTGAAATATAAGTTTTCAAAATAGTTTCTTATAATCTTCTACATTTTGGCAGTTCCTATTATAATTTTGCCTTTTGCATTTCTAATTGTATTGATGAGTCTTCTCTTCTTTTGGTAAGATTTGTCACTCTTATTTATGCTTTAAAGAGACTTTGATTCATTGATCTTTTGTATATTTTTCATCTCAGTTTCATTAATTTCTGCTCTTATCTTTATAATTTCTTTTCTTCTACAAGTTTTGGATTTGGATTGCTCTTGTTTTTATAGGACTATGACGTGCTTTAATAGATTTCTTGGGGAAAGATCACTCTATTTTTCTTTTTTCTTCTTCTGTTTTTCTAATGTGGCCATTCATAGCTATAAACTTCCCTCTTAGAACTATTTTCATTGTCTCCCATAGGTTTTGTGAATGTTGTCATACCATTGTTTGATTCTAGGAAGTTTTAAATTTCTTCCTTAACTGCTGTTGTGATCCTTTGGTTTTTTCAAGGGTGTATGAATCTCCATGTGCCCATAGTTTCTGTTGCTGTTGATTACTAGTTTCATTCTGCCATGATCAGATATTATACAGGAAATTATTTTTGTATTTATGTAAGTGTGCTATATGACATAAGATGTGGTCTGTTTTGGAAAAAAGTCCATGTACTGCTGAGGAAAATGTACGTTTTCTGTTATTATTGGGTGAAACACTCCATAGATATCATTTGTTTGATGGTGTGGTTCAACTCTGGTATTTCTTTGTTGACTTTTTTGTCTAGTTGATCTATTTGTTCAAATGGGTTGATTAAGTCCCCATTGTGTCTATCTCTTTTTTTATCTCAAGTAGTTATTATTTTATGAAATTGGGTGTTCTAACATTTGACATATATATTTATAATTATTATCCCATCCTATTGAGTTGTTCCCTTTATCAGTATGTAGTGACCTTTTTTGTCTCTCTGATGCACTTTGGGTTGAAGTCGCCTTTGTCTGAAAATAGGATAGCTACTTCTTGCTTTTGGGCTCCTGTTGCAAGGGATATCATTTCTATCTGCTCACTTTCAATCTGTGTGTTCTTGTGGATGAGGTATGTCTCTTGAAGGCAGTATACAGTTAGGTTTTGGTTTTTCATCCAATCTGCTGGTCTGTGTCTTGATTAGGGAGTGACAACCGTTTATATTGGGAGTTACTATTGAAAGGTGTTTAGTGAAGGCTAGTATCTGTCTTAGTTACTTTTTTCTTGCTGCTGAGACAAAATACCCAACACCCAGAATTAAGGAAGGAAAGATTTATTTAGCTCACAATTTTTTAGCGCTGATTCCTGTATTTTTTCCCTTTGTTTAACTAATCTCCCAGTTAGATGTATTCTTTCCTTTGGGCCTTGTTTTCTTCTGTCTAGGATTTCCTTGAGTACTTTTTTGTAGTACTGGTTTTATGCTTATTAATTTCTTTCTGTTCTCTTTGTTGTAAAAAGTCTTTATTTTGCCATAAGTTTTAAAGGATTATTTTTCAGGATATAGTAATCTGGGTTATCAATATTGTTTTTTCTTTCTTTTAAGGCTTGAAAAACTTCACTCCAAGCTCTCTAGATCTTTATTGTTTGTGTTTAGAAAGCTGTTGTTATGCTGACAAACTTGGCCTTATAAGTTACATGATTTTTTCTCTAACAGCTTTTAGTATTCTCTTTGTGTTGAATTTCTAGGAATTTGACTGTGATGTGTTATGATGAAGTTCTTTCTGGTTGTGGATATTTGAGCTTCTATATGGCTCATTTACCTGGATACTCATTCTGTTCCCTACATTTGAAATCATCTGTACTATGATCTTGGTAAATAAATTTTTTATACATTCAGTGTCATCTTCTAGCTTTTCCTTAACTCTTATAACTTTTAGTTTTTGGTTTTTTTTTAAGTCATGTAATGTGGCACCTGTTCATTCCAGCTTCCCTTGTGTCTTGATTTTAGGCATCACTGAGTACATAGTTTACTACATGAACTTTGTCTTCAGGTCCTGGTAGTATCTCCTCAGTCATACCTGCTGCCCATATTATTTTCAGTTGAGGTTTTGTATTCAGGATTTGTGCTCGATTCCTTTTCATAATCTCTAATTCTTTACTAAAGGGTCATGTGTATTTTGCATTGTTTCCTCTAATTCAGTAAACTTGTTTGTGTGTGTGTATTCTCAAAGCTGGTTGAACGTCTTTAATTTATATCTTCTTTTAGCTCACTGAACATGTTTTATTTTTTTTGTTGTTGTTGGTTTTTTGTTTTTTTGTTTTTTTCCAATACCAGGAATCAAACTCACAACCTCACGCTTGCCAGGCAGGCACTTTGCCACTGAACTAAATCCCCAGCCCCATGAACATGTTTTATACTGCTAACTCTTTTCATTTGATTCCTACCACTCCCTGAGAGGTAAACAGTGCTGACCTCATGTTACAGGGAGGATGCTAAGGCTCAGATGGTGCTGTCCTCGAGTTACAGTAAGGGTACTGTGGCTCAGAGAACTGGGTACTGTGCTCAGGTCTCGCAAGCAGTAAATAGAACATCTAGGACTGAGGTTATTGTCTTTTCCCTACGTTCTTGCTGCTGCACTGAGGAGTACCAGGTCTTGTGCCTCGAAAATGGGAAGAGATACCAAGAATCTTACTGGTAGGTGGAATGATTGAGAAAATTCCAATTCCTTTAACCATTTTAGTGTTCATATGGGGGATGTTATGTGTAATCGTAATCCTGGTAGGCATCGGTTGGTGGGCGGTATGAGGAGATGTATAACTTACTCTCATTGTCACCTTTGTGACAGTTGTCTTTCTAACTCCTTACAACTTTGTTGTCTTTCTTACTCCTCCACAGATCTATTCAGGTCCACCTGAGGAAAGTGCTGCAGCCCCAGTACCTCCACCTCGAGTGGCAGCAAGAAGGCACAAGCCAATCACAATTTCAAAGCGTTTGCTGCGAGAAAGGACAATTTTCTACACTTCTTCCATGGATGAAAGTGAAGGTTAGTATCTGTCTTAGTTACTTTTTTCTTGTTGCTGGGACAAAATACCCAACACCCAGAATTAAGGAAGGAAAGATTTATTTAGCTCACAGTTTGTAAAGGTTTCAGTCCATACTCAGCTGACTCCAAGGCAGGGTGGCACATGGCAGAGGGCAACAGTTCATGGCAGCTGAAGACAGCAGAAGCAGCAAGAGCAAAAAAGTGGGGGAGAGTAAGCCTCTTTTCCTCCCTTCTATTGTAAGCAGGCTCCCCCCACCCAGGGGGTGTGTAGCACTCCTAACCTCTGTGCCCTCCTCTTGCACAGGCTCAAGATGAATACAAAGTAAGGACCCTGGCTCCCTGCAGAGTCACTTAGTTAAGCTTCTAAAGTTCTCAAATTGACACAATGAACAACATCCCGGAGCGGTTAAGGGCATGTCTTTTCACCCCAGGCTGTAGAACTGCCGAGTCACTTAGTTAAGCCTCTAGACTCCTCAAGTTGACACAGTCTATCAAGCACAACAGTACTGAAGTTCAAATTTAGCTTCTAAATCAAGATTAGACATAAAGAGGACTTTGAAGGGGTGAAATAAGGTGTAGCAATTTTTCGTCATACAAATATAGACTTTTCTTACTTAGCCCTGGGCTTACAAGCAGCTGAGAGAAACAAGGTTTATAATTTGTACCTAGAGAGGACATTAGTTCTTTGGCAGTGGATAGGATGTGGATGAATTTGTGAAAGAAGTTAACATGATCCCTAACAGAACCAGTGGAAAATCCAAGGTGTTCTTAGATCTATGCTCTCAGTACACAGTGATATGTATGCAGCAGGCTTCTTGAATGTTCTGAGATTTTAAAGTCAGCTGATATAGATTAAATAACTTCTATGTTCTGGGTATTAAGTAAAATTAGGGCATATTCCCTGGCTCAGGGAGCTTCATGGGTAAAGGAGACATAGATACATGAACAAATGTGGAATAATTGCTTGTATGGAAATTACACCCATTCTTTTTGGGACTTTGCCCCTCACTACCCTACTGAAACTACTTTTGTGCAGGTTGCCAATAATCCCCATGTGACCCAACCTAAAAGTCATAACACTATTTTTATCATACCCAGCTAGTGAGCAGCATTTGACACATTGACTGTCTTTTTTCTTGAAACATTGAACCTAGCTTTTAGAACAATAAACTTCTTTTTACCTCACTAAATATTCCATCTCAGTTTTCTCTATTGGTTTTACTTCTTTGCCCAACTACAACATATTGGAAGGGGCCAAAGTTTTTTTTTTTAAGAAAAAAACAAAAAACAAAAAACATTGTTTTCTCAGCCCTCTTCCCTCTGTTATTTTCCTGTGTGATCTCAATAAATCTGTTTTAAATGTCATTTGAGTGCTGAAGGTGATTTTCAAATTTTGTATGTAGGAACTGGCAGCACCAGTTACCTGACTGCTAAGGCCAAGAACTTCAGAATCATCCTTGATTAGTCTTCTTTTTGCCCCTACATCTGATTGCTCAACACTTCCTATCAGCTTTAACTGCACATTATTTATGCTAAATAAATCTTTCCATTTCCCATTGTTGCCTTCCTGACTGAGCCTTTGTTGTCTCTCATCTGGTGTCTTTCCTTGCCTTCTTGCCTACCTCTAATCCATTCTCCACATCAGCATGTGAAATGTACATCCTTCTGAACATACCAAGATGTGTTATGTACATGTAACAACGCCCAAGATAAATGTGGTCATTATGTACTACAAACATATCTCAATAAAAATTGAGAAAGAAATAAAAATGTAAGTCACATCCCATCATTCCCTTGGCTCTAAACTTGTAGTGACCTCTCTTCATGTTGAGAATATAATTTGCATATTACACTGTATTATATGACACTTCCTTATCGCTCTGATCTTAGTTGATGCACTTCACAGCTTTACCATCCCCTTTGATCTCTCTGCTATACTCTCATTGGTCTTGATGTTACTGGTAAGTGTCAAGCTTGCCAAACAGCCTTGCATTTGCTGTTCTCTTGGTCTTAAATATTGCTCTGCTAGAACTTCATGAGGCTTACTCCTTCATTCAGATCTTGGCCAAGTGCTATTTCCCCATAAACAGCTTCTCTGAGCACTCTAGTTAAGTAATTCTTTCTCCTTCTCCAATCATTGCCTATCTCTATACACTGTTTTATTTTATTCATATCACCTGCTACACGCATTAATGTACTATTATCTGTCTTTGCTATGGAATGTAAAATCTATTTCATCACCATTGCCTAGAAAATTCCTGCTATGCATTTCTAGAGCAAATAAAGGAATGTATAAGGAATGATGAAGAGAAAGGGATTACCTAGCTTAATGGATCACTTTTCTCAAAGAGGCTGCGAGCTGTCATTTAGGAGAAAATGGAAGGGAGCATTGACTGCATACTTTGTTGTATCATAAACTCTCTTGCTTGCTCTTATTTTTTGTTTTGTTTTGTCTTTGGTACTACTAGAGATTGGACCCAGAGCCTTCACACTAAGATACAACTCCCTCCCTTTTTTATTTTTTAACTGTGTTTTTTAAAATTTTATTATTTTTTAGAATCTAGCTAAGTTGGCCAAGTAAGCTTGAACTTGTGATCCTCCTGCCTCAGCTTCCCTGAGTGCTGGAATTACATATGAGTACCACTATGCCTGGATAATAGCATAATAGCATTTTTATGGAATAAATTTATTTGTTTAAAGTCTTCCCAAATGTAAGCTCTATACCTACAGAAACATTTTCTCACTGCTGAGAAAGAAGTGTTTTTCTCATAGCACAGTAGCTGGTACATAGTAAGTTCTCAAAAAGTGAATATAATAAATGAATGTACCAGGTGTCAGTGGACCTAAGGTCTAATTACATCTTGACCAATAGCCTGTTCAGTAACTTGAGCTAGCCACTTTTCCTCTCTGGGTTTCAATGTGCTTCTCTGTATGACTTGTGCCAGATCTTCAGTGAGTTCACCTAGTATTGACATTTATTTTTTAACTTTTTTAGACTGAAATATAATGCACATACCCTAGGAGTCACCCTTTTAAATTGCACAGCTCAGTAGTTTTAGTATATTTTGTACAAACATCTTTTTCCAGAACATTTGCATTACTCCAAACAGAAGCCCATAACTTCCAATTACCTGTCGTCCCAGCCCTTAACAAGTACTAATCTATTCTTTGCCTCTATAAATTTGACTAATCTGAATATTTCCTATAAATGATACTTTTGTTGTGTTTTTCTTTTTGCGGTACTGTGGAGTAAACTTGGGACTTCACACTGGTCTATATCCCCTGGCCCTTTTTATTTTTTTTATTTTTTTATTTTGCAACATGATCTCCTTAAATTGCTAACTTTCCCAGGCTGGTCTCAAACTTGCAATCCTGCCTCAGCCTCTCACAGTGCTGGGATTATTGAATTGTGTCACTTTGCCCAGCTCACTATATAGTCTTTTGTGGATGGCAAATTATCTAACTTCTAATGTATTCAGGGTTCATCCATATTGTACCACATATCAGTATCATTGCCAAATAATAGCCATGCATATGGATATACCATATTTTGTTTAACAATTCATCGATCATTTGATGGCAATTTGAGGTGTATTCACCTTTTGGCTGCTATGAATGATGCTGCATTGAGCATTCATGCACAGATGTTTGTGTGCATGTCTGTTTTCATTTGTCTTCACTATGTACTAGAACCTCTCTTCTGTGGTTATTCTATATCTTTTTTTTTTTTTTTTTCTTTTTGAGATAGGGTCTTGCTATGTCATTCAGGTTGGCCTTGAATTCACCATGTAGCCCAGGCTGGCCTCAAACTCATGGCAATCCTCCTGCCTCAGCCTCCTGAGTGCTGAGATTACAGGCGTACGCCACCACACCCAGCAAGTCATGCTATATTTAAATTTATAAAAACTTTTAAAGAACAACCAGGCTCTTTTCAAAAGGAAGTATATCATTGTGCTTCACCACCAGCAATGGATGACAGTTCTCATTTCTCCACATCCTTCTAACACTTGTCGGAGCTTTTGATGCTTGCCATCATAAATGGGTATGAATTCATAATCTCATTTAATCCTCAGCATTCTTATGTGACATAGGTATGTGAGACTCCTTTGTATAGTGAAGACATTGGAGGCCCAGAGAGGATGAGTACTTTACCCAATTAATACAGCTACTCAATGACAGAACAGTGATTTGCACCCAATTATCTTATCCTAAAGCTCATTTGCCTGTTACAATGTTGTATTTCCTATAACCTGTCTGAACACTGCTCTAAGAAGAAACCAATCCTTCTACTACTCACCACTGTTTTTTACCTGCAGCATCACATTATATTACTCCAAACATTATTCTGTTTTAAAATAGCATTTCAGTGAATCCTTCCACCACCCTCATGGATGCCTTTATATCCCCATATCTAAGCTCTGGCCATTCTGTCTCTTCAGCATCTCTTAAATCTGTCTCTCTTTGCTGAAGCTGTTTCAGTTTAGATCTTCCTCATTAGCATTCCCATAGCTGATTTTCCTACTTCCAGTCTCTCTGGTCCAGTCTGCTTTTCATAATGAACTAATGGGCTATTCTAAAACCACCTGTTTGACAAAGCCACTTCTGCACCCAAAGATAGTTTGTATTCCTGAGTGTGGCATTCATAGCCTTAATGACAATAGCTCTACCCTAACTTAAAAGGGTCATCTCCAGCTCCTTAAAGCTTTTCTCTCAAATGTTCAAGTCAAATTAGACTTTTTATTTTTAATTTTTTTTTTTTTGACAAATCATGGTCTTTCATTCCTACAAGTTGTTCTTTGTCTGAACATTCTTCTTTCATTTGTACCCACTCCCTACTCCCCAACCACACATCATGTCCTTTCCTGTGTAAATGTAAATGTTTCAGTATGTATGATAAAGACTCTTTTTTAAAAAAGTACAACTACCATACTCATCATACCAAAAACAACACAATTCTTGAAGATCAATTATTTAGTGGATGTCCAAATTTTTTTCTATGATCTGATTTAAAAAAAAAAACAGGATCCAAATAAAATCCAGGTATTGTAGTCTTTTGATTCAGCTCTCAGGTCTTATTTTGCTGACCAGTACCTATGGTCTTAACCACTAAACCCTGATCTAAATCCTGGAAGGTTTTCTAAATCCTGTTAGATTTTCTATTACCAAAGAAGGTGACGGTTCTCTTAGAGTGGGTGTTATTGATCTGGGACAGGGAGAGTGGTCAATGACAGTGTCAGGGGACTCTGAATCACATTAAAATTCGTTTTCAAAACTTCGGCTGTGTTTATGTAGGCTAATTTCTTTAGGGAAGGGTTCCGAGTTCTCATTAGAGTCTGAAAATTCGTAAGTAAGACTCAGACTCACTGACAAGTGTATATTAATGTCAGAGGAAATTATAGACTGCAGGGGCCAGGGGAAGAGCATACAGTGGCCATTTGAGGGTTTCTTTATGGGAGCAGGGAAAGAAGTTAAACTCTGTTATGTTTATTAAGTTGAAATTTGAGAGATCTTAACAAATTACATTTGAGAGAAACAGGTGAGAATTATCTGATGCCTTTATTTAGAAAGGATAAATTATGCAATTCATTAGAGACTCTAAGTCCCTTTTGAATTACATATCACTTTGTATAAAACAATCTGGTTTTATTGTAGTTTATTGAATTGTGGTGATGAAAATCATACTTGGATCTTGGATTGAATTCCTTATTTGGATGGAACCTGTGACTACATATGAATTGGAGCGGGTAAAGACTAATCTTGTGGGATGTTGTAGATTTGTACCACAAGGTGTAGCATTGTGAAAATGTTTACAGATTTTCACAATTATATAGGTACGCATATATCAAAGTGAAAAGGTTTTAAAGGCTATCATTAAACTTCCTTTTTTGCACCAACTTTTCCCAGATGAGATTCAACATCAAACACCCAATGGTACTATCATTAGCAGCGTAGAACCTCCTAAACTGCCACAGCACCTCAAACTGCCCATACAGAGGAGTGCAGAGGTTGATCCTGGGAGGAAGTCACCAAGTAGAAATGTTCCAGATGGCAAATTGGAGCCTTGCCCTGAGGTTGATGTGGGGAAGTTGGTGTCTAGGCTACAGGATGGAGGGACCAAGGCCACCCCCAAAACCACCAATGGACCTGTGCCAGCCTCTGGGCCCATGAAGACCCCCTCTTTGCACATAAAGAGACAGGCCCCCCGGCCTGTAGCTCACCACAAGGAAGGTAAGTGTATGGAAATTTTTTGGGCACTAGAACTGAACCCACCTAGTTTTTTATCTTATGTTCCTTTTGGCTTTGGAGATATCTTTGAGTGGAAATCTGTTCCAGTGTACCAGTACTCATCCTGGTATGGTGTGTGAGACCATAAAAGCCATTCACAATAATCACTAGAATGTAAGCTTTATTAGGGGAAGAATTTGGAGCCTGTTTTATTTTCCTCTATATCCCAGTTCTTAGAATAACACCTGGGTGACACATAGTAGGCCCTTTATATTTGTGGAATTAAATAATGAATGATACTGAGAATATTCTGGCTTCTATTGCCATTTATTAAATATCTTCTGTGTACCTGGCACTGTACTAGATTTTGTCACACTCTTTCTTTTTTTTTTCTTTTTTTTGGTTTTTCTCCGGTACCAGGAACCGAACTCATGACCCTGCGCTTGCCAGGCAGGTGCTTTGCCACTGAGCTAAATCCCCAGCCCTTGTCACACTCTTTCTTATTCCCATGACCCTACTGCATAAAATGTATTGGGTTTTTTTGTTTTTTTTTTTTCTTATTAGAAAATTTATTTATATCTGGTAACTGGCAGAGCTGGGATCTAAATGTTACCACATCTGACAGGGAACAAAGCCTGTGTTCTTTTCATAAAGGCCTATCACATTACCTTCTGATAAGAAGCTTTGAATCTATAAATTATTATTTTCTTAGCCTCAATTTCCAATTTGGGAGAAGACGGACAAAAGGATGTAAGTCCTCCAAAACTCCAGACTTTTGAAATTATTACAGATTCAAGATGCTCAATTTCGTTGGCTATGTACACAAAAATTCATCAAGAGGTTGTGGTTGATCCAGAGGGAAGTGTTGGAGCATGTAATTCTCTGAAGATAATGTAGAGTAATGGGAAGAATATGAACTTGGGTCTCAGACACACTTCAATCCAAAGTCTGACTTTCCCTCTTTGTAGCTAGATGACATTGTAAACATATGCATTATGTGTTTATATCCTGTCTTGTTCTAAGATAGATTGAAGCATTTCCCAGTAGAGCCAAATATAAAAACTTTTAAAACAGTAAGAATAGTGTGTTTTACAACTATTTATTGAGTACTGAGTGTGTACCTGGCCCCATCCTATGTACTGAGGACATAGGAATGAGAAAGACATGCGGTGTGACTCGCGATTAGAGCAAAGCTTGGCAAACTCTGGCCTGTGGCCTCCATGGGGCCACTGACTCTTTTATATGGTCCATAAGCTAAGAATATTTTTGTAAAAGGTTTTAAATGTTTGAGAAAAGATAAAAGGAAAAATGATATTTCATGAAGCATGAAAGTTATAAAAGTTCAAATTTGTGTTATTACCATAAACACAGCTCTTCTTTAACATACCTGCTAAGAGTGCTTTCACACTACAGCAACAAAATAGAATAAGAGTGACATAAACCATGTGGCCTGCAAAGCCTTAATAATATTAATGATACGACCCTCTACAAAAGATGTTTGGTGACCCCTGCCTAAGATTCTAGAAGGCAGGGAGGAAAAATGAGTCCTACAGTGGGTGAGGAAGGGGAAGATAGTAGGAAAACGGCAGGAATTTAGCTAATATACAGTATGTTTGCCATGAAGTTGTAGACACTTGCTGGAAAACAACCACAAAGTTGTTTCCAAACTTTTGAGAGAAACATGCCCATTGTTCAAGTAAAGCATAGCTCTTCTATTTTTGAGGCCAGGGAAAATTTCAGCCATGGATTGTGACACATAGCAACCTCAGCATGGGATGATGGCATTGTCGCAGTGCACAACTTAGTAGAAAGTCTATTCTGCGTGAAATCCAGTACAATTGCAATGAAGTAACTGACACTGAATTCTCTGGCTTGATCCCCTGATATAGCTATGTGATCGCAGTGAATTAACCTCTTTGTGCATTGGTTTCCATATCTGTAAAATGGGAGAAACAACTCACCCCACAGAGTTATTGCTGGGATTAAAAGGAATAACAAAATGTCTGGCATATAAGCAGCAAAGTATGATATTAATTCACAATATCTGTTGTACATTAATATGGGAAAGGGGAAATGAAGAAAGGAATATGTGTATACACAAGATAGTTAACATTGTTCTACACCTAGTTTCTCTTAGTTCATTAAAGAGAAAGTTTTTTGCTAATATTGTATAGATGAGATATCATGCGTATATCTTCTACTCTGACTTACTGCTAGGACGACAACGATACACAATATATCAACTACTATAACTCCTAATAACCTGTTTTGAAACTCAGTCTCAATGTTATCTTTATCTTTTTTTCTCTCTCTCTAAAAAATTATACATGATATTAATTCCCTCCCCCTTTCCCTCCTCTCCTTTCTAAAATTTGCCTTTTCTGGGAAGTAGCCAGGAAAGGCCAGGCTTCTAGGTATACATCTGCTTTACATTATAAGTCATATACTGCCATTCACATCAGACTAATGGAAAGTTGGGTCATTCCACTTATACTCATCACAGTAAAATTTGTGTTGCTTATCACCAGCCAAATCCTATCAACTCAGCACACACAGTAACTGATCCCTCCCTTTCAGTTCTGCCTTTACGATTTTCTGCTGCAAAGTTCAATCCCAGCAGCATTATTTTTCCCGTTGTCCATAGTCCTGTCCCCTATGCTGCTGGCAGCAGCCGCTGTGCTCCAGTGCTGTTAGTTAATGCTCAGTGCTTCTCTGACTTGTCCGTTATCGGCCAGACTATGTAAATCTAAGCCATAGCATTGTCAGGCTTTGCTTTGTGTCCTGAATCAGTTAACAACAGGCTGGCATGATGCAGCTTTTTTCAAAGGCCCTGGCCTCCAGCCTTGGCTACAGAAACCAGAACTGAGTTGGCTTTGTCCTTTGTTGAGGACTAGACAGAACTCTGTTAGAGTTGCTTCTTTTAACTATACCCACTCCTCTTCCTCACCTCTTCTTCCCTCCCTTCCTCTGCATTTTGGCTTCTGCTCTGTAGGACATTGCTGGGCATCAAAAACAGTTATCAGTTAAATAAAAGCTGCAAATAGCTCTGACCTTGAGCCATAGCTGATAGTTGTTTTCCCTAGTGCTGGCCAACAGCCAGAATGGCAGTGTTAGAGGAAGGAAGCATTCCCTTCGCTGATTCACTCTGCATATCACAGTTGTCAGTCCATTTTAGCTGTTGTTCAGGGCACCTCACTGCCTTAGTGATCCAAATGTGCTACCATTTTGTGCCTCCCCATCTTTAAGTCTTGCAGTAATCCAATATTTGAAGGAACTTGATAGTTTCAGCAATTTTTTCTCAGCAATTAAAAATAGCAAAGACATGTTCATTTTAAATGGTTTTTGATAACTGAATTTAACAATAAAATCAATAGAGTTTACTGGTACAATTTTATTATGGCATTTTTTCTGTTCCAGACCCAGAGTTGGGTACTTTTTCTTCTTTTATTGCACCTAGTCCTTGTGACAGGCCTGTAAGATAGTTTTACTGTTCCCATTTCATAGTTGAAAAGACTGAGGCTCAGAGACATGAAACTTGCTCAGAATCACTTAGGTTGTAAGGTGATGAGATGAGGCTTGTACCAATGCCTCTTAGGTTCAAGATCAGGACTGTTTTTCTTTAATACCACACTTTTATTTTTTCAGCTGCTTTAGCTACCTTCCCTTTCTCTTTTTCTAAGGGGTACAGTACTCACTTTTGAGGGGTATAAAATCATATAAGCCCCTTTATTCCTTCATTTGATGTTACTGCCTCTCACCAGCCCTGGCTTTGTAAAAGGCAAGTATGTAGCTACCGCAAAGGGGTTTAGGATTTTCCTTTGGGGAATGAAGAGGGAGGAGGACTGCATCTCACCTGCTTACATGTAGTTGCTTATTTATTCAGGCAGACCTATGCGATGGGAGAATGTAGCTCAAAGGCCATAGTCCTACCTTCTAAAAGTTCATGGCGAAGCTTGCATGCAGGCGACTGGTTCCACCCAGTGTAATCCATATTGTAGTAAGAGTAAGAATAAATCCAGTAGGAGCACATGGTAAGGAGCCTGTTAGTCTGCCTGAGGCAGTGAGATGAAAGTGGAGAGCACAGTACACAGTGGATCCTATGACCTATGGGTTAGAGCCCTCCTTAGCTCCTTTCCTTGGTCTTGACTGGAGAAAAATGACTGCCTCTGGTGAGATGTTCCTGGATTTGAAGGAAGGACACTTGCAAGGCCTTGCATATTCATAGGACCATCAATTCTACACTGGGGTGACTAATGTCATGAGTGACATTTACATCTACTTTAAAAGTATTAGGAACAGACCTGCCCCTGAAGTAATGGGCGTTGCTGGGCATTACCCGCATTTTCTTGTTTGGATTTATTATGCTTTAATAATCTGCTCCTTGGCTTTTCATTCTCTGCCTTTCTTGGAGCCCAACTCCAGATTGTTCCACAAGGGTAATTAATGGATAAGGTGAGTATATAGGAATGTCATAGAATCAAATAGATCATTCTAGAAGACTGGTGAAATCTACAAGTGGAAACAAAATCCCCTTACTCTGTGCCTGCAGGTTGGGTGTAAGGATAGGTATAAGGAAAGGTGAAGAAAGTTGCTTAAGGATGAAGACTGATGATTGTCAGGTCCCAAGAAATCTGCTAATTCTTAAGATTTTTTGGTTACTGTCATTTGACAGAGAATAGGGAAGAAAGGTACAGACTGGGCTGGAGAAAGAGATCAAATTGGTAATATAAGCCAGGTTACTAATGAAGATTAAGAAGAAATTGAAAGGAAGTACTGTTTGATAGAAAGACCATAGGCTAAAGAAACTTAGAGGCTAAAAGCTTAGGTTTGGAAGTCTTCCAGATAAAAGTTTGAATCCTGACTCTTCTTATTCCTAGCTTTGGAACTTCAGGCAAGTCATAACCTCTCTACGCTTAATTTTCTCATTTGTGGAAGGAGGATAAGTGTGCCCATTTAATTGTCATCACAATGATGGGAGACATCCGTATGTCTGGCACCTTGTGGGTGCTTAGTAAATGGTAGTGTTTGTTCTGTTTTTGCAGGAGACTGTTAATAGCTACACAACTGTCTTTAGGGCAGCTTTACTTTTTTGTCCCTGATTTCCTCACTGTAAATAGGGAATGCAAGTAAAATTCCTCTGAAGATTAAGTTAGATGAGGTATACAAAGCATCTACTGATACAAAAGAAGTTTAATAGGTAGTAGAGTTCCTAGTAAGAACCCCTCAGTAAATCCCTCAGTACAGGCATAGAAGATGAGATGTCTGCTTCTCTGTATCCTAGAACCAATGAAAAGCTTCAAATCTAAAATGCAGATGATGGAAAAGAGTTCAAGAACTACATTTAGCTGAGCTACGGGATTTAGCTCAGCAGCACAGCGCCTGCCTAGCAAGTGCAAGGTCGTGAGTTCGATTCCCAGTACCGGAAAAAAAAAAGAACTACATTTAGCCTATTCCTGACTATGCTGAATACTCAGAAACAGGCAAGCCATTATTGAGGAAAGAGGGAAGGAGTGATTCTTAGCCATTCCTCTGGGTCATGCTCAAGTCTTACTTCATCCTCAGAGCCTTCTGACAGTCTGCCTCAGGGAACGCTTTCTTACCCCACATCTTTGTGTACCCAAGTTTGGCTCTCTAATATGGATGTTGAGTTATAGTGTTTATACTTGTTTTCCATGAATATGAATTCTCTCCCCCAACTCAGTTTTAAGACCTTTCATGGACTCATTCAGATCATTTTTTCACATTCCTTTTTAAAGTGTAAGGTTGGGCGTGAAAGCCCTCATAAAACTCCCAGTATATTGAATACCTTTCTATTTAGAATTCAGAATAGCCCTCAAGCTTGGGGATATCATGTTTGTGTGTATGTCGCATATAGTCCACCTGGAAACCTAAAATGGAAAGCTGTCTCCTTTGGCCTTCTAATAAAGTGAACTAAATTTGTCTTTACTCAGTAAATATTTGTTGAATATCTGCCAGTTACATGCAAAGCAACTTACTTGGGTCTCTTGGAAATACAGAGATGAATCCCACCTGGATCTTGCTCTCAAGTTGTTCTCATTCTAATAGAGATACAGCCGTGAAGACAAAGAGCCAAAATACGGGGTTCAAAGTACATGATGATCTTTGCCTTAGGAGTGAAGGGAACTTGGAGCATCTTAGACTTCCTAAGAGACATGGCATTTAAGCTGATGCAAATTTGGGCATGTGGGAATAGGATAAAGAGCATCTTGAAAAGAGATGATTAATTGTAACATATGTGCATAGAACAATAAATAATACTGTTTGACTGTACTGTGGGATAGGTGAAGAAGAATGATGGAAAGTTAGATCAGAAAGGGCTGTTGAAGCCAAATGGAAAAGACTAGTGAATGCCAGGTGAAACATTTTGGGGTGTATTCTTCAGGTAACATGAAGCCATGAACTCTAAATCTACTTCAGAGAGACTGAGAGAGACGGAGAACTAGACAGACAGAGAGAGATTGACTGAGAGAGATATTGAGAGGTTGTTTTGGGTGGTTTCCCGGGTACATTAAAAGCAGCATATAAAAGTCAGCTCAGGGAGATGCAGATTATAGACTGACTCATCTGGGAAACAGTCCAATCCCCATATTGTACAGGTAGGGAAGTGATCTAGTGAAGGTCACACAAATTAGTTTTAGTGCAAAGACTAGAGTCCATGTTTCTTGACTCCTACTTATAAGACTCTTCCCTCCCTGACTTGCCACTTTGACATTGTAACCTAACTGGGACTGAGAGAAATTAGAGTCAAGAAAGAATAACACTGGGGTCTTCCAGCCAAGAAAACCTTTTGCAGTTATTTCAAAACTTGACTTGTAATGAATCATCAAGTTGGAGTGACAAATAAAGAGCATAGGAGGATACAGGGTTAATGTTGTCTAAAGCCATAGATTGATATCCACTTGTATGTGACTGTAACTTCGGTATGAATGGCGTTCATCTTTGATACGTGTCACCTGGTTCACTTATCAAAGAAATGATAGCCCTGGAATGGCCATGGTTTCAGGTAAAAGTGTTTTCTGGCTCTGACAGTGTGGTGTATCCTTTCTAAATGACTTTCACTTTAGTAACCAGGAGAAATGGGGTAGCACTGTCAGTTCAGGTAATCTGCAAGCTACATTGAAGAAGCAGTGTTCTATGGCCTAGGGGTTCACAGTCTTCGGTGTGTACTGCATCACATGGGGAGCAATGAATATACCCATGTCCTGGTCCCACCCAGCTAAGAGCTATGCAGTTGGAGTCTAGGTATTACATAATTTGAAAGCTTTTTGCGTGTTCCTAATGTGTAGCCAGGGTTGAGAACCACTGGTAGTTGGAACTGCATGGACTTCAGCAATCAGACGTGCCTGGAGCTGTTGCTGATAAACTATGAAGTTACTTCTTCTCTTGGTATAGAAAAAGAATAGGGGGGCTGGGGATTTAGCTCAGTGGCAAAGCACCTGCCTGGCAAGCGCAAGGTCGTGAGTTCAGTTCCCGGTACTGGAGAAAAACCAAAAAAAAAAAAGAATAGTACTTTCTCCAGATTATGGCAATATTAACTAACAAAAATGTACTCAAAAAGCACCAAGTATGATACTGCAGTTATGTGGAGCAGAGTGGGTGTTCAATATAAAGGTAGCTAAAATATTTGCTGGTATTGCTTTTTACCATTATCATTGGTAACATTATATTATTAATAGTAACAACAAAACAGTAGACACTGGGGAAATATGACCTTCAGTCCTCACTCTATTACCTGTCTAGCCACATGGTTGTGGGTGAGTTGCTTTACCTTTCTGAAGCTTGGTTTCCTAAAAGTACATAAAGTTTATTGGAAAAATAGATTATTATTTTTTTGATGTAATTCTATATACCCTTCCAAGCATTAATAGGCATGGCATGTCCAGAAATGTAAGATACAGACTAGGTGGGCAGACAGAATTTATATGTATGAGAATGAATAATGTTTTGTTTCTTCCTTCTCTAGATAACCAGTCACACTGTATTATTGTTATCTCTTTTTATATCTGTCTCACCAGAATGACTAGGTGGGTGAATTAAAAAGCATACACATGGAGCAGTATTTAAGCACTTTATGAACATTTACATGGATGGAAATTGTATATACCTTCCAGAATGCTCAAGGAGTGAGGTTTGAGTTCAGTTTTGAGTTCAGGTTTGAGTTTCAGTTTTGGTTACAATGCAAGTGACTTGAGATCAAGGGCATGCATAGGGAAAGAAGCAGAGCACAGTCTGACACTTACCCCTGCTGTGTGCTAGGTACAATCTATAATCCATCTCATTTAGCTCTTGCATTCATCTAGGGGGCATCATGTTCATTTCTAAGATGAGGTAATGACAGTCAAAATGTGAAGTAACTATCCAGGGTCTCACAGTTTGGAAGTAGTAGAATAAGAGGCTAGATCTCCACAGTGCCAGACTCTGAACTTTCTGTAGCGTACTAAAAAGTAAGGGTCAAGGGTTTGCTTTGATGGGAGAGTGGGGAGAAGTTTGATAGAGTGCAGCTGGTAGATAAAGTCCAGAGACAGTGAATTGTGACTACCTCATGGACTGCCTTGAATTTATGTCAAGGAGCTTGAACTTTGTTCTGTGCATTTTGGTCTTGAAGGAGAGGAAAAAGCACAAAAATGATTAAAGAAAATTGTACAACAGAATCATGCAAGTTCACTTAATATGTTTTATGTTTACCTTAAACAGTTTTGTAGAAAAAGTGGACTGAATATCAAGATCTGATGAAACAAATAAATATAAGGATCTACTAATACATACTTGCATAAATTTCAGTATTCGTCGGGCCATAAGCACTTTTTGTGGACTTTTCTTTTTTTGCTTTCTATGCATATATATATTTTTGTTTCGACCTTGTCCAAATCCTTGTCAATGTGTGTATAGTATAATATGTATTGATTAAATACTTATAAGAATTAAATTGTTTGGCTAGCCTTTGTGGTTGGATCAAATTTTTTGCTGTTAAGATGCATGTTTTTGTGCCAGTTGGTTTTTCTTTCTTTTTTGTGGATTAAGTCCTTTGTGTCTGTCTCTCAGCAGAATGACTGGACCAGCAAATATGAACTATCTTATGTACGATTTTACACTTCATACATGTTGTTCTGAAAGGCTTGATGGGTAATTAGATGGAATGAGCCCAGCTTTTTAATGACATTTCTTTTTTATTTTAAATAGAAAAGAAAAAAATCAATAAAAATAGGAAATTAACAGTGGTTATTACATTGCATATTGTTATCTTCAAAGTAGTTACTCAGATTACAAGATATAGGCATGCAAAAGTGATCAAACAATATAAACATTAACCATTCCTTTCAATGAACTCATAGAAATTAGTAGTATAATTATCTTAGCTATCTTGTATATATGTATATTTTTTTCTTCCCCCATTCCACTTCGAACCCAGTTTATAGTGCCACTGGCAATAAATATCTGTTTCACCATAATTCTGCCAGAACCATTTTATAAAAAAATATTTATATTTGTTTTGTACCAAATGACCTAGAAACCAGACATACGGAGGCAGGAAGGTTAGTTCGGTGAATTAGGCCTAAGTGAAGACTTGTATTTCAGTGATGATTCATATATCAAATTCAAATTATCATCCATTGCTAAGCACCTATTATTTGCCTGGCATGTATTAAACATATTATGAACTATTTTAATTCTCTCAGTATCTCTAATAATGTAGTACTGATCATGGTTATATAACTGAGGAAGCTGAGGTTTAAGAAATTATATGAAAAACCTAAGGTATATGACATTCCACAGCTAGGGTTCGAATAGACTTTCTGAAGGGACAATTGCTAGAAGAATTGCAAATAGAAAAAGACAGTTGCTAATGACCAAGAAGTGGGGGCCAAGGAATGTGACTCAGGTAACTCCAGTATTGTCTCATGAGTAGTGTTTCATTTAGCTAACTGTTCAAGTCCCTGGTGTTCTCTCTTCCAGGGGATGCTGACAGTTTCAGCAAAGTGCGGCCTCCAGGAGAAAAGCCAACCATCATCCGCCCCCCAGTGAGGCCCCCAGACCCTCCTTGCCGGGCAGCAACTCCCCAAAAGCCTGAACCAAAGCCAGAGGTTGTGGTTGGCAATGCAGGGGAAATCCCATCATCTGTGTAAGTAGCATTGTTCTTGAACTTGACCTCAAGTTTGTTATAGGCCACCATGAATGCCTTCAAGATCACTATCTATGAATTCTAAGTGCACAATCCTGGGGCATCATTCACTTTGGCATCTGGATGACTAGCACAGGCCAGCCCTCTTGGGAGTATTCCACTCAGTACCAAAGGCTGAAAGAACCTCTAAAGATGGAGACTTTGAATCTTAGTACCTGCTAGGAGACCCATTTTTCTTAGCTGTCCTGTAAAGTGAGAAAATCACTTTCTGTTTTTAGCCCACTTGGTTATGGAAATTTCTTTTTTATTTCCTTGTTATTGATACTGGTTTTAAAATAATTTAATGAGTACAAGTTTTTCACTGTACTTGTGCTTCAGGTTTTTCTTTTCTTTACCAAAGAGTACAGTTTTTTAAAATCTTCCGAAATGACTCAAGTTCTCCAGAGAGTTTGTCACAGGGTGACATCTGGCAGGCCTTCCTAAGGCTGGGCTGTGAGCCTAGGAATCAGAGAAGGAACACCAGCATGGGATCACAGCAGCACTCAGGGACCAGCCTTGATGACTACAACCAGTCTGGCTGACCTCTCATCAGTCAGTGACTGGGACCCTTTCATTTCATAGTGCTTCCTAATCTTTCTTTTTCATGTGTCTCTTGTTTTCCATAATTCTAAGATTGGGGACTGAACAAAGCCTCCACAGCTTTAACTAATTAGCTAAATATATTTAAAAATGCCAAAAATCACACTTTGAAACAAACAAACACAGATTATTTTCACCTATTTTTCCTGAGGAAAATCCTAAATTGGCAGGCAACAAGTTTAAGACCAAGTTTTGGATGAACAGGGAGGGAAGGGTGTTATCTGTGGCTTTGCCTATGGACTCCCGACCATTTCCCATTCTGATACTGGATTGCTCCTAAGGCCCAAATCCTCTTCCAACAAAGGCAGGACCTAGCATTGGTAACCCATCTGGTTCAGAGTCTCCTGTCCTTTCTATTTTGTCCTTGGTTCTCACATATATTCCAGAACAACTCATGAGACTGAATTGGCTTCTGTTTGCAGGGTGGCCTCCAGGACCAGGTTCTTTGAAACAGCTTCCCGGAAAACAGGAAGGTAAGGACACAAGCAACAGCAGAGAAACCAAATCACTTTTTAATAATGCATCATGAGCTTCCCATTGGGTTTCATTCTTACTTTCTCTCTATTTCTCTACAGTTATTATATTCTCTCCTACATCCAACTTTATCTCTCCAAGTCTTTTGCTGTCTCACTGTGTCTTAGTCTTTGTCTCTGTTTTTCTATTTCTCTGTCACCCACTTTTTCTCACTGTATGTGTCTTTCTCACTGTCTTTTATTCTTTTTGTTTTTATATCTATGTTTCTATTTGTGTCACTCTTCCTGTCTGTTTTTCTCTCCTGGAGTTTGTCTCCATATCTGTTATATTATTTCTTGCCTCTTAATTTCTACATCTGTTTCTCTGTGTTCCTCTTTCTCTGTCTCACAGACATACACATCTGCACATGCTCATACAAATGGACACCCCAAGCTGTATTATAAAAACTTTACACCCAATGTAGGTCAGTTTTTAAAATTGCTCATTTAGACCCCATTATAGTTGAAGGATCATTTTGTTAGGTACATCTATCTAGGTTGGAATTCATTTTCTTTTAGGGATTGAAATACTTCATTCTACACTCTCCTTGACTTGAGGGTTTGTGTTGAGAAGTCAGCTGTAATTTTGACTGGCTTTCCTTTATGAGTGATTTGTTGCTTTTCTCTAACAGCTTTTAATATTCTGTTATTGTGTTGAATTTCTGGAATCTTGACTATAATGTGCCTTGCTGTAGATTTTTTTTTTTTTTTGCATGGCTAGTTGGCGTTCTATATGCCTCAGTTAGGTATATGTCAAATTCTTTTTCCCTGCCAGGGAAGTTTTCTGCCATGATGTATGTGAGCAGGTTTTTTTTTATATCACTTGTACTAGCTCCTGCTTTTTCATTGACTCCAATCAATTTTATGTTATTCTTCTTTTTATTGTCTAGCAGCTGCTGGAATTATTTCTTGTGATCCTTTGCTATTTTTAAGAAATTTTTCTTTTCATTATCTCTAACTGCAAGCCTATATTCTATATCTGAGATTTTATCCTCACATTGGTTTATTCTGCTGTGGATACTTTTTTTTATTTTAAAAATAAAAGGAAGAAAACATTAACAGACAGACAACCTTTTACAGAATAGCAAAACAACAGTACAGACAATACAGAGTTACAAACAAAGTG